CACTCCTCAGCTATATATCTCCAGAGAGGCTCATCTTCCCCTAAAGATAGCTCTACAAGAAGTGTTTTGTACAGAGAGCTGGGAAATAATAAAAATAAACACGTTTGCGAAGCTGGCTAAGGACACTGACAGACTACTGAAAGACTAGCAAACTTGAATGCTCTGAAACTCAAAGCAGCAACTGGGCAGGTGAGAATCTGAGAGATCAAAGAGTAAAATAATAGAATATCTGAAGAACAATGGGAACTATATAGGTCCATGCAGGCTTCTGGAAATGTGGCTTTCCAGCTTAATCAGGATAGATGAAAGCTCCTGGAAGATTAAGAAGACTAGATGCACACCATGACTGAGCAGTGGCAATGCAAGTAAAGGGAAGGATCAATAATTCTTCTACAGTGTTTATACACTCTGAAAATTCATATCTATTCAAGACAGAAGTCAGGCAGTGTTACATTATATTGAGAGGATGGCATTATTTATATTATTTATTATTAATTATTACAGGCTGCCCAACCCAGCACACAAAACCCTCCCAGAGACAAGTTGGTGGGCTCTTGGGATTGACCCACAGTTGAAATGGCCATTGGGAACCTCAGAAACTTGGCTTTATTCTTACTGAACACCAAAATGTCTCTGAACCATCTTAGGTCATCTGTGGCAAACACAGGCTGAAAGATTAAGAGCAGGTCACTTCAAGTGGCTGAGGCAGAACCATTCAGCTGCTCTCCATGCTCCCAGTGTGGAACATGTTCCCTTCTAGCTGGGAAAATTAAAGGGAGCCATGTGAAAAAACCCTTCAGGTCTATCTTCAGAGTAAGGAAAACTATATAAATTTATTGTGCCGTAGAGACAGAAGGCAACAAGCATTGGATTGGGCCTCATATTAGTGAAAGAGAACTAATCCATTTTACCTGTGTCTTAAAGCAAACAACTGAAGCAGAGCGAAGGGCACTGTCTTATGGCCTAATGTGAAGAAGAAGGCAGATCTCCGGTGTGATCTTGTGCCACAACCAATGCTGGTTATGCTAGAGTAAGAGCACCAAGCCAGCATCAGTGTACAGAAGGAGTGAGTGCAGACTGACCCAACCTCTGCTGGCAACAGCTTGAAAAAATAAGTGCATCTTGGTATCAGTGGGTCCTTTTTGTAACAGGGGACCAACATGGAGACCACTGCTTTTAAACTGCTGTTTAACATCAACTTTTCTCCATGAGGTTTCCTGCGTTAAGCATGAACGCTGCCAGGCCTAAATGTAACATGTTTCCCCCGACTGCGTCATCACACAGGGCAAGTGGGGGGGAGATGATAGCAAAGGAATGCATTTGGGTGTAGATGTTGTGGTCCAACAGAGACATGGAGCCAAGGAAGTGAACAGGGGAGAGGCAGGAAAGGCAACAGAAGTGGTGATGGGTAAGAATTAATGGGCAGACTAACAGGTGATATGTTGTGAATTTTTACTACAGGCCACCTGACTGAGATGAGAAGTTGATGAGGCATTCTGAAGTCAGCTGGAAGTATTCTCACAATCACAGGCCCTGCGGAACTTCATGCATGGGGACTTCAGCTAACCTGATATCTGCTGGAGAGATTTTATAGCCAGGCAGAAATAGTCCAAGAGGTTTGTGCAGAGAACTGATGGTAACTTTTGACACAGGTGATGGAAAAACCAAGAAGAGATGTGTGTATCTGGGCCTTGCACTAGCAAATATGAAGGACTGGCTGGAAATGTAAAAGTTGTGGGTAGCCTTGGCTGCAGCAACCATGAGATGGTAAAGTTCAGGTGTTTTTGGGGAGGATTCAAAGCAAGAAATAGAATCGCAGATTAGGTTTCTTCAGGATCCTGCTTGGAGGAATCTCATGGGATGGGGCACTAGAAGGAAGAGGAGTCCAAGAGAGGAGGTCAGTATTCAAACATCTCATCTTTCAGGCTCAGAGTCAGTGCATTCATACTAGTAAGAATTCCAGCAAAGGAGGCAGGAGAACTGCATGGAAGAGCAAGGAGATGATGAGAGCTTTTCAGCATTTCCCCTCCCACTGAATCAAAGAATTGTTGAGTTGGAAGGGATCCTTCTAGGCCATCTAGTCCAGCTCCCCAGCAATGAACAGGAACATCTACAGCTGATCCATTGGTCAGAGTCCCGTCCAGCCTGACCTTGGGTGTCCCCAAGGACGGGGCATTCACCACACCTCTGGGCAACCTATTCCAGTGCCTCACTATAAAAAAACCTCATTATAAAAAAACATTTTCCTTAAGTCCAGCCTCAATCTCCACTTTTACTTTGAAACCATTTCCCTTTCTTCCATCACAACAAACTCTGCTATCGTCTGTCCTCTTCTTTCTTACAGCCCTTTAGATACTGAAGGCCTCTCTCAGATCTCCCCAGGGCCTTCTCTTGTCCAGGCTGCACAGCCCCAGCTGTCTCAGCCTGTCCTTGCAGAGAGGTGTTCCAGCCCTTGGAGCATTTTAGTGGCCCCTCTCTGGCTGTGCTCCAGCAGCTCCATGTCTCTCCTGCACTGAGCAGCAAAATTACCCCATCTTCCTAAAAAGCCCTCCATTAAGATTTTCAATCTTCTCATTTCTATTTTGCAGCATTATTTCCTAAAAGCAATGATTGCCAACCTCGTCAACTTTAAGAGACGTGTAAAGACTTCCTCTCTAAAAATCCCAGTATAAATGTGAGCCTCTGTAAAGTGAATGCAATTATTTTAATTCTCTTGCTTTCTTTTTTCTAAGTCCTATGGATCAATCAGTCTTCCTAAAGACTCTGGAAAAACACAGATGCTTTTCAGAAAAGTTTTCCACTGCCAGGGGAGTAGGTGAAAATTTTCCTATATTCTTAAGAGCAGAACAAGCACAACATACTCTTCCACTCTGATTTTAGGAAACCATAATTGGAATATAACTCTCAGCAGACAGAGTGACCCAAGGGTTTTGAGGAAAGAGTGAAATAGCAGTGCCTTATCTGCTCGGCACTTTGTCTAGATGAAGCTTTGATGAAGGGTGTAATACAATGTCAGTTTTTGCTAAGGCAGTGTAGTCCAGTATAGTGTGAGAATCCTTCTTTGTTTTTTGACTCAAAGCTTGCTTCCTGAGGTATTTTTTGTGATAAGACTCTGATTGATTTGTTGAGGAGGCAAGTGATGGGTGCTACCGTGTGAAAACTGACATCCCTCTGGGAACATTTGAAAGCCCCTTCCTCCAGAGCTGCTTACCTCCGGAAGAGAGTGCTCAGGAGTGTTTACTGGCTGAAGATCTGGCCTGTGACTAAATAGCTTCAGCCTGGTATGGGAAAGTTGGGGAATGGTACCATCGTGTCCTGTGAAAAACAGGATGCAGATGGGCATCCCTGCTCCCTCTTATCTGCTGGCACGGCCCGGAAGGTGGGAACAATGGAGTTTCTGCTGAGATCCCAGAGCCAGAAGCTGCCACTCCAAGGAGAGCTGACTCAACCACTTTGGATTTGAGCTGTCACTCCAAAGACAGCTGACTCGACCACTTTGAAAGCATTGAAAAGGAGCCATCATCACCATGGTGGTCGTCGCGGTTATCGTTGTCAACAGAACAACAACACCTGATGACCCACCGCTATGGAAGATCAATGACTGAACTACGAACCTCGCTGGATCCATGGTGGTGACTATGTCCCTCTTGCTTCCTATAAAGACTCCTTGCTTCTTCTTTCTTACCTTTTCTATCACCCTCCTTCCCTTCCCCATTACCCTAATTCATAATAGCGTCCGTCCTCCCCTTCACCATCTCCCTAATTAACACCTGTAATAAACTGGTCGGACCAACATTTGAACCGATGTTTCTTAATCTCACGCCGGGGATATAGATATTAAAAGAACCTCCTCTCTCTCCTGTAAATCGGAGCGAGACATATAGTCAATTGATTAAAAATACATCAGAAATTACAGTCAGAAAGCCAGGCAGAGGAATGAAAGAGGTAGTGTGTACTGGGATAGAGACCTGGTGTAGAAATTGATTGATTCTGTGAGAAATTTAGCAGCCATGGAAATCACCATGTTTTTTTGGCAAAGCTTTAACAACTTACATTGAAAACTACATCACTATGATGAGATTCCCCTCAGAGGTCAGGAAGGATTAGACTGATTCATTTTCTTCCCAGACAGAAAGAAATACTTCGATTTTTCAGAAAAAAAAAAATAGTGTATTAATGTTTCTGATTGTTTTTCTTGCTGTCTTCTTGGAGTTTATCTTCATGATCTTAAATGAAATCAATTTTGAAAGTGAAAGCTTTGTGTACAGTAATTGTTTAAAACTACACATTTGTTCATCTGTTCATTTCTGCACCCTGTTCTGCTGTTCTGTTAGAGACCAGATCTTGAACTTGCTCAGATTCTGCCTGGCTGCTACAGGCATCAGGATCTGACCTCACCTACATCTCAACTACCTTCTTTGGAAACAGCCTCTCATTGTGTTTCTTCATTGTCAGTAGAAAGATATACAGATGAGGATGTGATTTATTAAAATAGCAGACAATGATTTTGCTTTGGTATAAACTGCACCTCTAAGTGCCTGTCTGTCTCCTTTGGCTATAACTAGTTCAGATGAAGATGACTCCATTCTCTCAAATCATACCAAAATGCTGAAGAGAAAATAGGATGCACCAGACACTGCAACCTCTGTGGTCAGGTGCAAGCTAATTCTCTCAGTTCCCCCTTACAGCCAAGGAAGAGAAATACTGTCTTCTCCACAAGGCTCTTCATCCCATCCTGATTACCCTACTAAGAAGAGGTAAGTTGAATTGCATTACAGAGAGGCTAACTGACTGGCAGGCGCACAGAATTGACCCTGATCCTAGGTCTGTCTCTTTAGCAACATGGCTAAGGTTTAGTAGAATGAATCCAGACCTGAGTGACTGATTTCACTGCACTCAAATCCATGGTGAAGTTGGGTATAACATTTCTCTGGTGGTTTGGAAGGGGTGCACCGGTGCATCCATCTTCAGTGAGTCTGTGATTTGCTTGTTAGGACTGGATGTGGAACAGAAGTCGCACCCATGTGAAGGAGTTCTTTCTAGTTGGATTTCCTGGCTCTCAATATTTGCAGCTAACAATGTTTCTCTTCCTCCTCTTTGCATATGTGCTGACAGTCATGAGCAATGTCTCCATTATCATTCTGGTGAGGACTCACCGTCATCTCCACAGCCCTATGTATTATTTTCTTTGCAATTTTGCCTTCCTGGAGATCTGCTTCACCACTGCCTGTGTCCCAAAGACGCTGGTTAATCTGGGGTCACAGAGTCAATCCATTTCCTTCACAGGTTGCCTCCTTCAGATGTACTTTGTCTTTTCTTTCGGTTGCACAGAATATTTCCTCCTCGCTGTCATGGCATACGACCACTACTTGGCCATATGCTACCCCCTAAGCTACAGCACCATCATGAACAGCACTCTGTCCAAGTGGCTGGCAGTGGTTTCTTGGATAGGTGGTTTCCTGACCATTTCAGTGCCCACATCTTTGATTTCCAGGTTGTCTTTCTGTGGCTCTAATGTCATCCACCACTTTTTCTGTGACATCTCTCCCTGGATTATCCTTTCCTGTACAGATACCTCCCTTGTGGAGATGGTGTGCTTCATCACGTTTACCATTGTCATCCTTGGCTCCTGTGTCATTACCTTGGTCTCATATACTTATATCATACATACCATACTGAAGATCCCATCTGCCCAAGGCCGCAGAAGAGCCTTCTCCACTTGTTCTTCCCACCTCATGGTAATAATTATTTGGTATGGATCCACTATCTTTCTCCACGTCAAGCCTTCCGTCAAAGCTTCCTTGGAGCTGACCAAAATAATCACCATTTTAAACACAGTTATAACTCCACTGCTAAATCCCTTCATCTACGCGTTCAGAAACACGGCAGTGAAGGAAATTTTGAAAAAGACTTTCAGTTGGAAAACAGAAAGCCATGCCCAGAGGTTTTGTCCTGGACTGTTTCTTGAAGCATAGCAGAAAAGAGCAGCAGCTTCAGGGACGTTTCAAGTTTCAAGAAAAGATTTCTTCTAGAATGTTCTTAGCTCCCAGCTAAGTTATACATTTGTATTCATGACATGACCTTCTTAAACTTTCAGAACAGAAAAAAGGTTTGCCAGCAACACAGATATAATATATGTTTGGAAGAAAATCAAGATGTCTTTTCAGTAACTGTGCTGTCAGACTGGAAATGAGCAACCATCGGAGGTACAAATGGTGACAGAGGACTTTCTCCTTTTCCAAGTGGGTCAGCACTTCCGTTCCATTTGCTTCAATCTCAGGGTTGCAAATTCAAGTGTCTTTTTAGGCTATGATCTGAAATGATTGAAGCACATAACTGCAACTTAGCCTTGCCTGCCCTTCTCTTGGGAAACACAGGGCACTAAAGGAAAAAAAAAAAAAAAAAAGCAGGGGAGAACTTTAAAAAAAAAAAAAAACAAAACCCGCAGCAATTGTAAATTTCCCCCTTTTGATCATTCTCAAGTGTACAAACTTCTTATTTTATTTTTAGAGAAATCCCATTTCCCTCTTCTTCCTGCTTGTGTTTCTAAGACAGATCCAGGGAAGCAATTGTCCCCTCACATGTAGCACTTGTGAGGCTGCACAGTGAATATTGTCTTTAGTTTGGGGCCCTTTGCTACAAAAAGGTTACTGACTTGCTTGAACGTGTACAGAGAAGAGCAACAACGCTGATGAAGGGACTAGAAAATAAGACGTAGACATATGAGGGAACTGTGACTGTTTAATCTAGAGGAAAGGAGGCTGAGGGAAGACTTCATCACTCTCTATAACATCTGTTTGCAGGGACAACCCATAAACTACAGAATGATATCTGCTGTAAAGAGCAGTGATGGTAATTGGGATGTATGGGAAACTGTGGGACCTGAATATGCTTTAAATGGTACAGAATAAGGCGTGGTTATTGGCCATGTTTCAGATGGAATGAAGTTGATTTGATTTGCTTCAGAGTGTCTGGAATAATGCCATGGTTTGGCTTTAAGAGAAAAACAATTTTGATAACACAGCATTGTTGTGCAGCTATTGCAGAGCAGTGCATTTCATTTTCTTGTACTGCCCTGACAGTGAAGGGGCTGAGGGGGCTGAGACAAGAAGCTGAGAGGGGACAGTACCAGGACAGCTGACTTAAATTGGCCAAAGGGATATTCTGTACCATATGAGAAACCTATGTCACGTGAGAAAACTATAATGTGGAGGGAAATTGGCCAAGGGGCAGCCGCTGCTTGGTGAAAGGATGGGCATTTGTCAGTGCATGGTGAGCAATTGTGTTGTGTATCACTTAATTTGTGATATAAATTTATAATTATTGTTATTTCTCTCTTTTTTTCCTGTCTTATTCAATAGCTTATATCTCAACCCAGAAGTTCCACTCTTTTTTCAATTCTCTCCCCATTTGACTGGGAGGAGGGTGGGGATGAATGGCTGCGTGGTGTTCAGCTGCTGCTGGGTTAAACCACAGCCATCTACTGCATTACTCTGCATGTTATTATAAGCTGATCCATCATGAAACTCTTTAAGACTTAGTTTGGACAGCTAGAAAGCAGCCATTCTTTATTCTAGGCACCAAATGCAAAAGGGAATCCTTCCACCTAATTGTGCATATCTTATACTAAATATCTTCAGCTTATATACATGTGTTACAGATGCAAAGTATTTCCTGAGCAGTACGTACATATTCAATACTCCCCCCAGAATCCCTAACATAGAGTTCCACCTCCTTGCACGCTCAGTCTTTTTGTGGTGATGGTCTCCTGGGCTCCCTGGTGGTCGTCAGTATTCTTCCTCACTGTGTCTGCTAGTTGAACCTGGTCTTCACACATGCTTGGTTAAGCTTCTTACCTTGACTGCACAATACTTGTTTCCATGACTCCTTTATCTGCTCGATACAAAGGCTTGATGGAACTTCCCTTAGTTGCTGGGTACAAGGAGTTCGGCATATCATCCTTATCTGCTTGGTACAAAGACACGACTTTTACTGTTTTCTAAACAATCTACACGGCTGTCCATCAACAAGCATTAGCAAGCTTAACAATATCATTACAACTTGTATCATGCAAGCCATCAAAAATGAAAGCCTTATATTTCAGTAAGCAATGGCTACTCAGAAGTTAGTTTATTGGGTTGGTTCCAAACTCTCATTCCTCTGAGGTTTGAAGTCTAAGCACATGTGCACTAGCAATCAGTGATATTCAGAGTAATTCTATGTGTGTGATCAAACCAGAATTTTGGGGCAATTTTTGAAGCAACACGTATGTCACGCATATCACCCTACAGAAGTAAAGAGGAGTCAGAGACCAGACACTGTACCAGACACTGAAGAAAATCAACTCTGTCCCAGCTAAAAGCAGAACAATATCTGCCATCCTATTAATTCACAGAATCACAGAATCACAGAATCACTAAGGTTGGAAAAGACCAACCATCCACCTATCACCAATGGTTCTTGCTAAACCATATCCCTCAACACAACATCCAAACGTTCCTTGAACACCTCCAGGGAAGGGGACTCCACCACCTCCCTGGGCAGCCCATTCCAGTGCCTGACCACCCTTTCAGAGTAGTAGTATTTCCTAATATCCAGCCTGAATCTTCCCTGGCGCAGCTTGAAACCATTCCCTCTAGTCCTATCACCAGTTACACGAGAGAAGAGGCCGACCCCCAGCTTGCTACAACCTCCCTTCAGGTAGTTATAGAGAGCAATAAGATCTCCCCTGCGCCTCCTCTTCTCCAGACTCCCTGTCCTTCAGTGGCAGGGAAGGATGCTGATAGGAGCGGGAAAACCCTTCTCATAAATACATGACTGAGAGGCCGGTGTAATTGCAAGAACATGGGGTTTTTTGATCATGGGGTGGTTTACTCAGCACCTGGCCTGACAGCTGTGGATGAGTCTTACCTGCCACAAAAGGAGAAATGGATCCTAGCCCAGGAGCTGGAAGGGCTTGTTGAGAGGTCTCTAAACTAGATATGAAGGGGAAAGGGGATAAAAGCAGGCCTGCTAGAGATGAGCTTAGGGGAACAATAATGGGATTGGGGTGAGGCAAGGGGCTGGGCTGAAGTGCATCTACACCATGCATGCAGCACTGGTGCTGGAAGCCACTGTGAGGCAGGCAGTCTGTGACTAGTTGCCATTACACAAACGTGGTGGGATTGCTCCCACAACTGGAGAGCTGCAATGAATGGCTATAGGAAAGGACAGGCAAAGAAGGAGGGGTGCTGGCATGGTTCTCTATGTTGGAGAGTATTTCAATGCTGTTGAGCTTCGGAATGATAAGGCTGAATCTCCACGGGAAGGGATCGGGGGAGGGCCAGCAATACGGACATCCTGGTGGGAGTCTAATAGATAGCCTGACCAGGATGAAGAGACAGATGAGGTGTTCTACAAGCTGGCAGAAGTTCGTGTTCACCAGCCCATATTCTCACGGGGAACTTCAACTTCCCTAATATGTGCTAAAAATACAATACTGCGCAGAAACAGTAGTCTAGGAGCTTTCCAGAGTGTTCGGAAGGCAACTTCCTGATGGAGCTGGTAAGACAGCCTACCAGGGGAGCTGCTCCTCTAGACCTCCTGTTCACAAAGAGGGTCTGGTGGGAGATGTGGGGATCGGGAGCTATCTTGGACAGAGTGACCACAAAATGGTAGAGTTCTCACTTGTTGGTGAAATCAGGAAAGGGGCAGCAAAACTGCTGCCTTGGACTTCCAGAGGGCAGACTTTGAACTGTCCAGGACATTGGTAGGGTGAGTCCCTTGGGATTCAGTCCTGAAGGGTAAAGGGGCCCAGGATGCTGGTTACTCCTCAAGGAGTAAGTCTTCAAGGCACAGGAGCAGGCTGCCAGCCCATTAAAACACGCCATCCTTTTGGCACCACTGCAGGGCCCAAAGGGTTAGGACAAGAGGAGATCTGACCAGAGTGTATCAAAACAAAATTATTATAAGCATTACATTAAGTTTCATAATTGCTCGTCATGGTGTTGATTTTTCTGCTCTCAGAATTGATGTGCCTGTTTTCAGAGGTGTGCTATGTAGCACCTGACTTTCTCTTTATATATTTAATTGTGCTGCTGCTTATCACCTCTGGAGACTTCACTGATAATAATTTTATGTACTTTGTAACACTGGTTTATGAATGAGCGGCAAAAGGACTCCACTGCAACTGGCTCGTAGTCTCCACGCATCTCAGGAGAGGGTACTTCAAGGACCCAAAAGAGTATCAGTGGGCTTCTGGTATAGCTGCCTTGGAGATGAAGGACTTTGAGCAGTTGTCTACCCTAGCTGGTCTCTCAGAGGACCCTTCTGTTGTGGGGTTGCTAAGAGTAGAACA